GATCTCTTCTGCTTGCTTAAGCCATTCTTGCACTTGTTGTCTAACCATTTGTCCTCCGCGAGCCTCTGCTTCTTGTATTCTTGATTCTATCTCTTGTTTCTGGCTAGTTAGACTGTCCAATTTTCTTCTCAGCTCATCCACATCATCATTAAAATTTCTATGTTGATCTATACAATTGCAGGTTGGAGTACCACAAATGCAACTCAATGCACCGAATATTGCTCCTACTATTTCCGCCATTAAAAAGGGTCCTGAAACATAATAAATAATGTGAATAAAAATATGCCTCTTCTAGGGTTCATCAACAGAAAATTTAAAAGCATAAATAAACAATTAAAAAAAGTTAAATTAAATTACCAATTCCTTCTCATCAAAGTAACTTACAAATTCCAACCATATATAGGAGGTATAAAACCATACATTACCAAAGGAAATGGGAAACAAACAACTATATATATTATGTAAATGAATAAGCTAGTTGAAATACTAATTTTATTCCTTTTGCCTCCTTGTTTTGCGGTAGATATATTCATCCAATTAAATAAATATGCTAATGGCTTAAGTAATGAACAGGGTTTCAAACTCTCACTAGATTCATAATTGTCTCAAATTCTATTTTTCTCAAATAAAGCACTAAAGTAATTGAAATTCTCAAATCAAGTCACAATTAGACAGAAACTGTTAGGTCTAACATTGTTAACACTACGTGGCTATTGATTAAATATCCATTTAAAGTTGTTAATAATTGAAAAGTTCAGTTAATTATACTTGTTGTGCCGTCAAACACATTTTTTTGAGAACATATCGTCACTTTTATTATTCAGAACCAATGCTAATTAACTGAAAATTTTCGGTTTAAATTGGGTTGGTGTTCAAAATTAGCCAAAACTGCATGTTTTAAAATTTGGCTAAACGTTGAATAAGGTCTCGTACTTTCACTAAATTCACAATTGAGATCCCAAAATTCATTACGCTCAAATAAGGTTATGAAATAAGGTCCAAATTGGACAAAAATTATTATTTGTTAAATTGGTCATTAATGGGGTTAATTATTCTAATTGGTTAAATATCTAAAATGCATGATCCCTAGCCTTTCTATTTTATCTTGTAATGACCTTAAAGGTTTCAATTACCTTGAAATGCTTCTTAAACTTATTTGTTTTAATGACATGACAATTTTGTAAGACCTATAATTAAAAATTAATGTTTTATTTTAATTACCGTGACATTTATGTGGCCTATTATAAAATAGTTGCATTATTATTTTTTAGAATGGTAACAAACAAATTATATCAATTAGTTTGAATCGCTAGCCATAAAAAATAGCTAAATCAAAAAGGAACAAAGGAAAGGTGGTATTATAATTATAGACAGTTCACAAATTCATCATCATTTATATAATAAATAAAATAAAAAATTAGGTTTCATCCAAAAAATTAAAAAAAAAAAAGAAAAAAAAAAGAAGAAGAGAGAGTAGGTTATTTAGGTATGTTAAGTATAATTATGGTTTTTAGTTTTAGTTTTCAAAATTCAAACAATCAAAATTAAAAATTAAAAACTAAAATTAAAAATTAAAATTACCAACTTAGTGGGTATAAAATTTAAAAATGAATATCCAAAACTCTAAATTTATTCAATTTATATAAATTCTTAATTTGATTTTATGATTTTTAAATTTTTTATTTTCAATGGTTGCAAAATTTTTAGAAACCAAAATTAAAAACTCAAAACCAAAACCATAGTATAGTTATAATTTTTGGTCTATATAAATTAACTCAAATAACCAAATATGTAGCTCTAGTTAGCACTTGAGTAGGCAAATTTTGCAACTACTGAAAAAACGAAACTAAAGATAAAAAACTAACAATTTGCTTTAGAAGAATTTTAATTCTAACTAAAAAAAAATAAAAATTATATAATAGTATTAAACTATTTTTTTTTGAATTTTTGGCCAAACAAATTTTAT